GCACACAGCTCCGATGGCAAGGTGTGCCCTGGATGAAGCTCAGCCCTGTAATGCTGAGAATCAGGATGGCTTATGCACAGGATGAACACAGGAAGGAAAAAAAAAACATTTTTCCTTTCTTGCTACCATCCGATTCATTTTGTCGAAGCCCTGTCCAGCAGAATCTGTTTACAGAGCAAGCAGAAGAGAGCCCACAAATGACGATTCCAGAATCACAAGCAGGAAGGAAAAAAGAAAAGGCAAAAAAAAAGAAAGAGTTGTGCGCTCTATGGTCAAAGGCCTCGTGGTGGTGTGGGGGCTGCCTCCCCAGCAGTGGATGTTACTTAAATGTGGCATTAAAGGCCCTGCCAATGAGCATTCGGCGCACTTCGCTGGTGCCTGCCCCTATCTCGTAGAGCTTGGCATCCCGCAGGAAACGCCCCATGGGGTAGTCGTTGATGTAACCGTTCCCACCTGCAATCAAAAACAAGTCGAAAAGTCATTTCTTCTCTCCGATTTCAAGGGCCGAGGGCGGGATGGGAGAGATCACAGCTCCTGCACCAAGCTTGGCTCCCCCCAGCCAGGGACTCACCCAGGCACTGAATCCCTTCCAGAGCCACCTGGGTAGCGCACTCTGCCGAGTAGAGGATCACGCCAGCGCAGTCCTAGGGGAGAGCCACAGCCACAACCGTCAGGAAAGGTGCCACCTGCCTGTCACCAACCTGTCCGTCACCCTGAGCTTTCCATTATTCTACAGACACCCTGAACTACTTGACCACAACGGCACAGGATTCATTCTCTGGTGAGCAAGGAGCTGCAGCAGTCTTTCTGTCACTACAGAACGCTCATGTCAGGTTGTAAAGGCCACATGAAGACAGAAAAATTAAAAAAGATAATGACGAGTGCAGCAGGGCAGCTGGTCTCTCCCAAAGGCACACACCATACCCACAGGACAGCAACACGATTCGAGGCGGGATGCAGGGCGTTGTGCTCCAACTGTCCAACACTCAGTCCCTTCTTTGACAGAGGTGTGGTGACAGTGCCGGCTGTGGAGGCGACACCACCTCAGAACGACTGCTACAGCCCCTCACAGCAGCCAGGGTATCAAGTTTGAGCTTTCAGTAAACATCTATGGAAGCTGCCAAATCTGTTGCCGTGTAGAACAAGGTGCTTTTTTTTTCATTTGTGGGGAACGAAAAAAAGCACGCTGGGCTGCAAGTTGTTTTAACTTCCTGCACAGAACCTCCACCTGCTCATGATCCAGGCCCAAAGGGAAAGGAATTCCTACAGCAGAGGCAGCCCAGGGGCAGGCGAGCTCACCTTTGCATTGAAGTGTCCGCGGTCACAGGCCTTGGCCACGTTGTAGACGTACTGCCGACACGCCATCAGCCGCGTGTACATATCGGCCATCTTGCCCTGCATGAGCTGTGCGACGCAGAGGATGAGAGGGACACAAACACGAGGGAGGGGAAGGTTATTTTCACAGAATCAGAGAATGGTTTGGGTTGGAAGGCACCTTTAAAGGCCATCTAGTCCAACCCCCGTGCAGTAAGCAGAGACACCTTTAGCTAGATCAGGTTGCTCAAAGCCCCATCTAACCTAACCTTGAAGGTTTCCAGGGATGGGGCATTTACCACCTCTCTGGGCAACCTGTGCCAGCACCTCACCATACTCATCATAAAAAATTTCTTCCTCTTCTATTTTGAAACCATCACCTTTTGTCCTATCTCTACAGGCCCTGCTAAAAAGTCCCTCTCCATCTTTTCTGTAGCCCCTTCAGGTACTGGGAGGCCACTATAAGGTCTCTGCAGAGCCTTCTCTCTTCTCCAGGCTGAACAGCCTCACATAAGCACTGAGGATCGCTCATTCTCCAAACTATCTTGGAGAAACTAGACAATAAGATAGGGATTCAGCACTCGTACAAGGGAGTTGGAGCCTCTGTCAGTCTTCAGACACTGGGCCCCAGTCCCTCACCCACCAACAGCGGCCCCAGGCAAAGAGGCTCAGAGATCCCAGCACCTTCTTGCCAAGTCGTTACATCCTGCAGCCCTGGCATGAGCTCCAGCCAACCTTCTCCACGCAAAGCCATCCCACAACACAGCTACTCGTCTTCTCATTTTAAAGAGAAAAGCAAGACGACAAAAATTTCTAAATCCTTCTCTGTCTCACCTGGAAGTGGCCAATTTTCTGTCCAAACGCTTCTCTTACATGTAGGTATGGAATTGCGTGGTCAAGGACAGCTTGCATGAGCCTAAGAAAAGCACAGACATGCAGGAAAAAGAAAACAACAGGACTATTAGTAATAATTAAACCTGGGAAGCACAACCTAAGACAGAAGGATTTGTACCTAAAATGATACACCGCTGTCCTGCTATAGCTGCACTACAACAACACTAAGTGAAATCTAAAATCCATTTTTCTCCCTAGTGCTCTACATGTTGCTCATTTGGGACATCTTGTGGTTAAGTTTTATTGTCTTAATTCAGGGGACTAAGACAAAGAGTTGAGGAGTTTTCTTACAACTGTGGCCAGGATAGTCTGTGCTGCCTTGCATCTCCAGAGACCACTGACCAATACCATGAAAAAGCACAGGCAAGAGGAGTGAAAAATCCTCCAACAGATCCAACTCACTCTCCACCCAAGACGCACCCTGCCAGGACCAGCAACCCCAGCTGGAGACCCACTGGGCTGGGTGAGGGTGAAGGATCTTTCTGGCCTTACCTTCTACAAAATGTGACAGACCCTTACCCCAGTGGCCCACCAGACAGCACGAGTCGCTCCAGGTCCAGCCCGCTCATCAGAACGTAGACTCCTTTGCTCAGCGTCCCCAAGATGTTTTCAGCTGCAACCGGCAAAGGAAAGTGATTTACTTATGTACAAAATTAAGACAAGCTGTGGCCTGAGGGTCCATGTTCACAGGGGAGAGAATTCCAGCTTTGAGTGCCCTTCACCTTTCTTCTTGGCTTGAGACACAAACATTCAGGATGAGCTAGACGAGCGCTGAGTTTTGATACAAATACTCATTACCACTGAAACACCTTTTCAGCCCAACCAAAGCCAAAAAGGAAAAGGCAGTAAAAGGTTATAAAGTACATCCACAATTGCTGCTATTCCCTTGCTTGTTTTCTAAAGAGTAAAGTGCTCTTCAGAGACCTCCCAGCTCAGCACGTGGACCAACCAGAACAGGAGACGTAGCAGGCTGGGAGGACAAAAGGGAGCTCCCTTCACCATCCCATTCGTTTGCATCTAACCCAAACTGACAGCATTACCATCTCATGTCTGCAGAGCGTGGATTTGAAATGAATGCAAACCCTGCTCCGATATGCCTGGGAATGCTCCGAGAGATGCCCCAGTACGGGAACCAAAGCTTACACAGGCAAGCAGGCAAAGCTCACCTCTTGCCACGCATCAGAGTGATGCGTACTAGACTGCTGAGCTTGGAGAACAGAAAGAGCCATTATCATCCCTTCTGTGAGAGGGGCTCAGCAGGACATTGCAACTGCTATAAATAAACATTTTAAAAAGACAAGTATTATTTCTGTGAAAACAGACACGTTAGATGATGGGCTGAGAAAAACCCCTCAAGAAACCATTTCACTTTGGGATAATCTAAAGCACGTGCTGATGTTAACAAGTATGAAAGAAGCAGGAACAAAAGGCTCATCTCAGCGAGGCTACTCTTACCATCAGGAGGGAACTTTAAGCCTAACAACTGTGTTTTGTAGGTGGATGGAGATTATCATCACGCCATCCAGGAGAACTGACATACACTTCAGGCTTTGATCACAAGAGATCTGAGAGGTGTGATATGCAAAGTGAAAATAAGACAGGACTTGGACACATGCAGATGGTCTCCTGAAATAGTAATCTGTTTTTCAGTGGCAAGAGCTCACAGACTACGTGGTCTCCTGCCTAAAGAAAAGCAGAGTGATGTCACGCATGGAGAAGCGCAGCCTCTGCAGAGTCATCATCATGATATTGGAGCTAGAAAGAGGAAGAGAAATGAAGTTTTGCTTTCAGAGAAAAAGCTCAGAAGCCCCACAGAAGAGAAAGAAAAATACTAACAGCAAACATTACTTGGGAGAACAGAACTCAAATGGCAGCATTGGTAATAATAAAGTGACAAAGCTATTCATGAGCAATGACATCTCACAGCTTAAAAAAAGGACCCAAGACGCTGAATACTTCCCTGTACGTCAGGGAAAGGGAAGGAGAGGTATGTGGTGAGCTGACTGTGCGAGGGGGGCAGACTTACTGGCTGCATATCACAGCCACTAAACCCAAGGTTGGGGCTCTGAATCAACTCTTCCCAAGGCCACACGACACAATGAGTCCACAGCCAACACTTCCTGTGAGAAAAACAGCAGCCACTCAGTGGAGCATGGCTGACAGTGAAACCCACGTTATTTTAAAGCAGGTGGAATTGCAGGGCTAGAGGACATCTGGATCTGAGCGAAAGATCCTGCAGACATATGAAACGGCACCAAACTGGTTCAGCTTCCAAGGCAGCAGATCAAACGTGGCATTAACAGCCAGAGTGCAAAGTGTGTTAACTTTCAACACTGCAGTGATGTGCTCCTCTGAGTTCTCAAAAAATGGAAATCCCGTTACCACGAGAAGATGCTGTTCTGTTCAGATGATTACCCAGGAGATGACCTGAAGACTGGGGCACTGGCCTTTCTGATTTCAGACTGGAGGGATCCAGTAAAGTTAGAAATGTCAGATTTCAGCCGAAACTCTTCCACTTACTGCAAAGCAGCTTTCGGTGGTGTATGGGGAGCAGGAAT